TAAAATTGAGTTTGAAACTGTGCCTCCTATTGGGGCAATCCACTATATGACAGCTCACCAGTTCTTCTGGAAGAAGCCACCGAGCTGCTTCGTTAGGGAGCAATCGATAGAGTTTCTACTCCCATTACTTCACTGTACCCAAGAGGGGCGGGGGCATCCGTGCCATCCTGCACTTGCGTGGATTTAACAAATACATCGAAACAAAGCAATTCAGGATGACCATGCTCCAGATTATTCTTCCGTTGCTTGGGAAAGAGGATTGGTTCACATCTTGAAAGATGCCTATTTTCACATAGGCATCCACCTGTCTCACAGCCGCTTCCTAAGATTTACTGTTGGTACTGAGGTCTATGAATTCTTCCTTTTGGGCTCCCTACCACACTGAGGGTGTTCACCAAATGTATGGCCCTGGTATGCATGCACCTCAGACCGGATGATTGGCTCCTGGTCTCATCCTCCAGGAAGGACCTTTTGACTGCTATTAGAACAGTTTGTTCCTTATTCAGCCAACTCAGACATGCCTTGTTCCTTCCCAGGTTATCAATTACATTGGAGCATGACTGGACTCGACTTCCACACGGGCGTACCTTCCTCCTGATCAGACTCAAGAGACTTATACAATGTATGAACATCCTCATCCTGAAACGGACTGTCACAGCTCTTTCCATCCAACAGGGGCTCGGTCATATGGTGTCTACAGTTTCAGTGATATCGAATGTGAGGCTGTGGATGCAAATGCTCCAACTATGGTTCAACTGCAGCTTCTGCCCAGAGCAACACTCACCATACCAACCATTACAGCTTCCGCACTCAGTCCTACGAACTATATCTTGATGGACAACTGACACCAACCTGACTCAAGGGATGCCATTCAGACCTCCAGAACTGACTGTAACTTTTTACTGGCACTTCCTTCATGGGATGGGCCACCCACTGCAATGCTCTTCTAACTCAGGGCATCTGGACCAGCCATGAAACCACAAGGCACATCAATTACCTAGAACTGCTGGCAGTTTTCAAAGCACTCCATGTGTTCCAGATCATATTGGAAGGAAGGATGGTACAGATTACATCGGGCAACATCATCACCATATTTTATCTCAACAAACAAGGGGGAACAAAGTCGATCTCATTAGCTCACCTCGCCTTTTGCATCGATCATGGAATCAGCTTACAAGCTGTCCATCTTGCCAGCACCGAAAACGAGGAAGCCAACTCCTTGAGCAGACATATGTCTACCATGCATGAGTGGGAATTGGACCATCGTGTTTGCCATTAATGGTTTGAGCAGTGGGGAACTCCTGATAGACCTCTTTGCTACCCACCAGAATTCAGTATGCAGAAAGTATTGCTCCTGAGCTGTCATTGGCCCAAACTGTATCGGTGATGCCCTCATGGTCCCATGGAGGGGCATGACATTCTATGCATATCCACCAATCCGGCTAATAACAAAGACACTAGCAAAGATCATCCGAGACAACACTTGCAGCATCTTAATTACCCCATGGTGGCCCCATCAGTCTTGGTTCCCTACTCTGCTTCAGCTGTCCAAGAACACCTACATCCATCTGCCCCAAGTTCCACATCTCATCTCACAGAGACAAGGTGCCATTCGACATCCAGACTTACACTCTCTGAATCTAACTGCATGGCTGATCTGCTGACTTCCCTATGTACAACCTTCCTGGTACTGACACCATTGGTCTCTTTGTGCATAACAACTTCCATGCCAACTCCCTCTTTGGGATCAACAGCAGCACCACCAACATCTCCTTTGGTACTGACAACAGCTTCGGGTTCAATATCTACCTTGATACCAACAACAACTTTGGACTCAACCTTTTCACATCTGGATAGCTAATTCATTTTACAATCTGCATTGTGGCCAAACACGCAATGGTCTTATAATGTGAAGTAGAAACACTTTACGTTTTGTAGCTTCCAACAATTCTTGCCACAAGCTGCACTCATAGAGAATATCCTTCAATTCCTATTCTCATTACACCATGGAGGACTCAAACCTTCTTCCATCAAGGTTTAAATTGCAGCCATCTCACATCACAGAGGACATATTGAAGGTTCCTCAGTGTTCTCTCAGCAACTAATATGCTGCTTTCTATGAGGATTACAAAGCCTCCAACCTCCAATCTGATCAATCGTCGCATCATGGAGTCTCTCCACTGTTCTGCAGGCACTAATGAAATCACCTTTTGAACCCATGGCAACGGTTGATCTCTGTCTACTCTCTTGGAAAACTGTTTTTCTTAATGTCTCTGTCTCAATTACATCAGCAAGAAGGGCTAGTGAACTGTGTGCTCTTCGGGTCGACCCTCCATACCTTAGCTTTCATAAAGAAAAAGTGGCCCTTCACATGGATCCAGCCTTTCTTCCTTAAGTTGGCAACAGCCTTCCACCTTAATCAAGACATCGTCCTGCCATTGTATTTTCCATCACCATCAACACCAGTCGAACAATCCCTGCACAGCCATGATGGGTGCAAATCTCTAGCGTTCTATCAGTCCCATACAGAATCATTCAGAAAAACCAAATGCCTATTTGTCGAATACTCTGAACACAATAAAGGAGTGCCTATCGGGACCCAAAGTCCCTCTACATGGATCATAGAAACGATTCAGCTTTCTTATCAACCGGCCAAACTGGATTTGCCTTTCACTCCAAATGAATACTCTACAAGAGCCATCACTGCCTCGTCTGCCCTTCATGCAGGCATTTCAGTTCAGGAGGTATGCAAAGTCGCTACATGGTCAACCCTGTGCACCTTTGCGAGACACTACTGATTAGATGTCAGAGCCAGACAAGACTGCTCTTTCAGGTGCACCATCTTATTGGGAAGACGGTGCAGTGTGGTGTGGTGTCTCCAGTGATGACACCACACCCATCTCCTGGTTGGTAAGCATGTTAATCTCCCTTATATGTGTGATGCACAGAGACCACAGTGAAGAAAGGCAGGTTGCTTGCACAGATGACCACTCTTTCTTCGAGTGGTTATCTGTGCATTCACACATATAAGGGTGCTGTGCCTGCACGGTGCCTGTTGCCAGGAAGATTTCATAGCTTTAATGGTTTTTGGTGGGAACTCCATGCCCCCCCTTCCCCCCAGTATAAATGAGCAAAGTCCCTGCCCAATTGCCAGTCAACTAGAGACTGTTTGTTCACCCCCAGTCGGTACTGGCAAGACAACATGAGTATAACAGCTTGTCCTGAGAAAAAGCACTACAGTAGTAGAATATTGACCCAGTCACCAACACCATAGTGGGGCCGGTGGGTGGGTTGCCACTCGTAGAATGACAGTTGCAGGTAAGCAACCTGCCTTTCTCTTGCTGGTGCTTTTCAACTTCCCTTACTGTAGGAAGAGGGCCACACGCATCTTCTGCAGTTCTGTCCATTACCTTCCTGTCTCCCCAGCTGACTGCACTTCCTAATCTGAAAATGCCTGAAGGGATAAGTAACTTTATGACATCTTCCCCTGGGCATTAATTCAAGTGCAGAAAGTTGGTGAGGCTGCAGGTCACCAGAGATATTATTCTGCAACAAAAGACCAGGTGCTGACATGCATTCCTAAGCTACCTTGTAATTAAGGTAAGTACAAGAACCTCATAAGCCACTGTCAGAAATGCCATTAAAATGTTCTCCTTTGATTCTTCCTTCTCCCACCACCAAAAAAAGGAAAGAATTTCTTTTCTATTGAACTGAATGACAGTAGTTGAAAGATGTGGACTGAAGGTTTTTGTTTGGTCACAGCATTGCCATAATAGCTTCCTTAGTTAAGAACATGAACCATTCTAGATCTAGTGGTACCTTTCCTGATATGTAGCATACCAGATCTGGAGCTGACTCTCTGTTGTCATAGCTGTAAATAACTCCTAAGTACACTGGGAAGATTTGACTCTCCTGACTTTCCCTTTCACTAGTCCCCTTGTTTAAAAAAAAGTTTTCTGTTTTCAAGGCAGCTGTAACTGTGTTGAAAATGCTTGACACTTTTTTGGTCATATACAAATGAAATCCAAAAGAAATCTGCCATTTCAGAGCATAAGTTTTTTGCATTTCTTGTAACTTAACAATGCTTTGGAAGGACTATCTTGAGTTAAAAGATTGCTTTGGAATGGTGAACTATCCCTGTGTTAGCATTTGTGAGAGAAGCTTGTGAAAAGACAATTGTATGATGAGACCATGATGCTAATGGGTGACCTTTAAACAAAAATAAATAAGTAAATAGGTTGAAGTCATTTCAGTGATGAGATCACTTCAAGAGAAGATAAAGTTCTATTTTGGTGAAAGCGTTTGAAGCTACATGATATTCTGTGACCTTATGCTGTTACCTAATTTTCTAGCCAACTTCTAGGATGAGGATGGATTTGTTAAAGAGATACATTGTTGTGAGCCGCCCCGAGGCTTCGGTGAATGGGGCGGCATAAACATGTTTTAATAAATAAATAAATAAATAAATAAATAAATAAATAAATGTGATTGCTGTTCTTAAGCCCTTTTCATGTGCATCTTGACTGAGTTATAGTCAGCATGATGGTCAGTTCTTTCAGTAGTTCAACAGAAGATGCAGTATGCTTAGTGGAGGAACTTGAAACCTCATACTGGAACTCCTAGCCTTATAATCAGCTATGCTCAGAGTCAGTGAGATAGTTTCTTGTTTCCTCTTAAATTTTTCCTCTTCACATTTCTTCCTTGAGATTTTAAAATGATGTGATGAGCCACATTTTTCTAATTTCTAGCTCTTTCTTCCCAAGCTAAGGATAAGAATGAACATGAACAAGCAACTTCCTTTATTGTGCTTCCTATGCTTGGATCCAATGGTCTGACTAATTCAGGGTTTTTTTAGGGGTAGGTGGTATGCACTGGTGAATGTTCATGGCTCCTCTCATTATATAGTATTGATGATGACATAGATAATTTTTCTCTCCAAAGTTTCTAGAACCATAAAGAATTAATAATGTATGGTGTGTGTGTGTGTGTGTGTCTTACAGCTGCACTCCAATTCTGACAAAGGCGATGGATCGGTCAAGTACATCCTTACAGGTGAAGGTGCTGGGACTATCTTTATTATTGATGACACAACAGGAGACATCCATTCAACCAAAAGTCTAGACCGGGAGAAGAAGACACACTATGTGCTGCATGCCCAGGCAATTGACAGACGGACCAACAAGCCACTTGAGCCTGAGTCAGAGTTTATTATCAAAGTACAAGACATCAATGACAATGCACCAAAATTTACAGATGGACCTTACATCGTTACTGTGCCAGAGATGTCTGATATGGGTAAGAAGAAAATATGGGAAACTGAGTTGATAAGCAGTTGGTTCTATGCTGTCAACAGGTGCTTCATCTCCCTTTTTTGAGGTATCTGCAATGATGTGCTTTTAAGAAACCTGCCATAGCAAACCTTAATTCATTTCTGCCATTTGAGGCACCGGGGTCATTTGCGAGTTAATATGCTACGAACAGAGAATTTTTGAACAGCTGAAGCTCTTCTTGCCATTGCTTCACTGTGGTTGGTGGTGGAGTGGAGGTCCCACCAACTTTACTAAGGGAGATTGTTTTTTTCCTCCATATCTGTTAACATCTAATTATGCCTTTGAACTCTGGTATCTATAATTAAAAGTAACAACAATGTCAGGAAAGCACTTCCAGGCTTTGCAGAGTAGCTACCAATCAGAAGAGACAGTACTAAGCTAGATTGACCAATGGTCTGTGTGCTTACCACATGAGAGGCTGAAGGTAGCAATCAGCAATAGAGAAGGCACATGAATGATCTCCCTGGAGAAACAAGGACTGGTCCTTTACATGGAATGCGCACAGGCTGTGCTGCTAACCCAGCGGTTTCCAACTGTTTCTATGCCCTGCACCCCCAGAAAATGTTTGATTTATGTTTGCACCCCCTTCAAAAGTAATATATTTGCAGATGAGGAAGTCACATTTCAAATTTTTGAACTACAAATTGAACCACATACAGTGCTGTGGGTGAACAAATTAAACTAAAAAAACAAACATTTAACACAGTGCATAAAATTCAAATATAAATCGAGCAATTAGAAGGAAATGTAAACAGTAAAACCAATCCCAGCTGTGAACATAAAATTAAATGACTTCTTTGTTCCTGCATCTCACTCACAGTTTTGTTAAAATGTGCAATTTTCTTGCTGATTGCAAACCTCAACACTGCCTGTGGATTCAGGTGATTCCTAGATTTGGTCCTGATTGACAAAAGAAAATAGAATCCAAATGCAAACTAAATAATAATTTTATTATTGGGATAATTTTTCATGAAGAACATAATCTGCCAATTTTGGTGAATTGTGACACAGCCTTCCTCTTTGCCACACCCCTTGAAATGCCTTCTCTTACCCCATGGGGTGCAGGCCCCCCAGGTTGGGAACTCCTGTACTAACCTGATAGGTGAAAGGAACCATTTGACCTTTCAAAGAGAACATAGCTCAGCTTGCATAGCTGTAAGGGGAAAATAAAGCTGGCCTTCAAGTTAGTATTTACAGGTTCAGTTTCCTTAAGGCAGGGTTGTAACTTTGCATGTCAGTGAACTAGACTGCATAACTTTCGTGACATTATTATAAATATATAATTTCATTGATAAGGTTGCAATGTGTAATTGACAATTGGATTGAATTAGTCCACTGAAATTTCAGGAGGTAATGTCTGATGTTCTTAGAACTTGAGAAGAGACTGAGAGAACTGGGCATGTTCATCCTTGAGAAGAAAAAACTGAGGGGGGCATGATATCTCTCTATAGGTACCTCAAGGGCTGTCACAGAGAAGAAGGTCAGGATCTCTTCTTGCTGATAGCAGAGTGCAAGACACGGAATAATCAATTCATGTTGCAACAACCCAGATTTAGGCAAGATATCAGGAAAAGCTTCCTCACTGTCAGAGCAATAGGACAGTGGAACCAGCTGCCTGGATTGGTGGTGGGCTCTCCCACACTAGAGACATTCAGAAAGAAATTGGACAGCCGTCTGAATGGGATGGTGTAAACTGGTGTCCTGCAACAGCAGGGGGTTGGGTCCCAATGGCTTTCATGGCCCCCTCCAATTCTACTATTCTATGATACTATGATCTTTCTGAAAGGCAAGTTTTAATTTGATTTAATCAGCAGTGTTTAGAGAAAGGGCACTCTTGAATAAAAACATCTGATTGCTACTGTTACTGACTTTATATAAAAAGCCCCTTGAGAACCAGAAGTTAGAACTGATAGTTTAGAGGGAGAGAACAAGGTAGAGAACGAGCTTGTCAGGCAAATAAACTGGCAGGCAGGGAGGTCAGCCAGCCAGCAATGCAGTAAATGGTTCAGCAGAAAAGGAGCAGGGCAGTTCCAGAAACAGAATCACTGAGAGTAATATGCCTAGCCAGTAAGAGTCTTTTTAAAATTTGCGGCTTCTTTTACTGCTTCATCTGCTGAACCAGCACTTGCAGTACCACATCTGGCCATCTGCAATGATGGTATTGAAGCAAGCTTTTGACAAGCTGCCATGGAGACACAGGCAAGAGACTTCTGGTTGTGGTCGTCAGAGACCTGCATTGGCTTGAACCATCTGGTGCCTTTTACAGAGACATAGAGCATGAAGAGAGGAATCTGGTTGGAGCATTGTCAGCACCCGTTGTGTTAACATCTTCAGATTTTAGGCAGATCTATACATTTAGGGCTGACTGAGAGGAAGTGAAGTACCCCCAAAAAGTTGAGATAAGGGCCACTTTTGTATAATCTTGCTCTTTGCTTATAGTTTGCAGTTCATTTGCTGTCTAACTCATTAGTCTAATGGATCTCCCCGCAACACACACACTTTTGTCTTTCATGACAGTACTATTTCTCATCTTTCAGACAGAGCTGTTAATAAATTGTGATGGGAGTAATTTATTCTAAGTTTGGATGAATAATTTAATCCCCTACCTTCCAAATATTTGCGTCTACTCTAAAGAGAGAGAGTTTCTTAATGTTATTAAGGTTTTCTGTAAGTGGCATGAGAGAGTTTGTTGTGAACTCTTTAGTTCCTGGAACTAACAGGACTATTTCCTGCAAATATTAGAATTTGCTAAGATATTGTGGGTCTTGGGGCCAACCATACCATTAGGCAGAGTGAGCTTGCTGCCTCAGGCAAAAGTCATTTGGGGAAAGTTGTGGCAGCCAGCTATTGCAAGGCAAAGTTTTATGTGATATGTTACAATGTGAATTTGCTCTCCAGGCTTCAGGAGGCAGGGGAAGAGTTAACTCAGGAAACAAAATTCTGGAAATACCAGGTACCATCCTTGGGGAAATCAGGCAGCCAAGGCCTTGGAGAGATTTTTGCCTCCATCTCAGGCTAGGGACGTCAGAGCTTTCAACTGGTCTCAAGGCCACAGGAGAAAACCAGTGATGATGAATTGATGGTCAGCAGCTGGAGTTAATGGGTGAACCCCAGAAAGTGGGAATTAGGCAAACACCCCTTAGTCAGTTGACCAAGGCTGCAGGGGAGTAAAGTCCCAGGAGTTGAGAAGCATTTGTTCCTCTCCTGGGGGAGATTTCGTCCTGCTGCTGATCCTCCCTATTGATGACTGATCTGGTAACCTGTTTTGCTGTGCTGTTAGAAGGCAGAGTCATTGTCTCTAGGCTAAGATAGAAAACTTTCTTTTCTTATTGTTCAAGGGGACCAGCAAGGCTCTGTGAGTGGGATCTTGGTTGGCTATAACTTTCTTTGGACCGCCCAAATCCCCCTTTCCCCTTCCTTCTCCCTTTTCCCTGATTTTATCTTTTCATACTAGTATGTTTTAGTTCCTCCACCCCTATTTTTAACCTTTTAATAAAGTTGTTTGTTTCCCCCATTTGGGTTTGTCATATGCTGATTGCAGTGGCTGGTCCAGTGTTTCTGGACCAGGGATTTCTGGGCATGAGTTAACCCAATGGGCCAGGGGAGTGGGGAATCCCAAATGGCATTCCTTTACATAGAAACTGAGTCAGAAGGGGCCTCCCAGGTCATCTAGTCTGTGCCCCAGCTCCAGCTGGCTCTGATCACGACATGCCTACCATGTGCATGTCTAGCCTATCCTTGAACACCCTCACCTAGGGGCTTCAACCACCTCCCATGGAAGTCCATTCCATACCCTCGGGGGTCCTAACTGTCAGAAAGTGCTTCCTGGCATCTGAACCTTGGTTCCTTGAGTTTGGTTCCATTGGAGTGCATCCTGCCCTGCTCTGCAGGGGAGAACAGGTCTCTACCTACCTCCATGTGACACCCCCTCACATACCTGTATGTCACCAACAGATCCCCTCTGAGTCTTCTCTTCTCCAGGCTGAAAAGACCCAGTTCCCTCAGTCTCTCCTCATATGAGTTTCCCTGAAATCCCACCACCAACCTTGTGGCCCCATGTTGCACTGACTCTAACCTGGCTATATCCTTCCTGTAATGAGGGCTGCTCTCCAGCCACTTGTCTGCTAACCTGTACTTATGAGAACCATTCCTATGCCCCAAGTACAAGACCTTGCAGTTATCCACATTGAACACCATCCTATTGTTCTCTGCCCACTTCCATAGTCTGTCCAGATCCTTCTGGATCTGGAGTACCTGCACCTCAGTTGTGGCCACTGCCCCCATTTTAGTATTGTGTGTGAATTTAATCAGCAGACTGGTTCATCTGGTAGGACCTGTTTTTGCAGAAGCCGTGTTGCGTGGCCCCCAACCTCCCTTCCCTATCTAGAGTTACTAGATCTCTTGCTATTATGACCCTTTCCATTGTCTTTCCTACAATAGATGTAAGACTAACAGGTCTGTAATTTCCCATGTCCCCTCTACTATCTTTTTTGAAAATTGGGACCACTGACGCCACCCTCCAGTCCTCTGGAACATCACCCATTCCCCACGAGGCCTTAAAAATGGAGGCCAGCAGGTACGAGAGGACCCCTGCCAACTCCCGAAGTACTCTTGGGTGAAACCCGTCAGGGTCTGGCACCTCTGTAACATCCAGTGCCCTGAGGAGCTCTTCAGCTTCTAGAGGGATGACTAATCTGTGCCCCTAAGTCCCCGGCCTCATCTGATCCTCCATGCAGCTCCCCCTCATCCTGCTTTGGGAAGAATACAGAAGCAAAACAGTCATTTAACATCTGTGCCTGTTCCTTCACAACAGTCACTGAATTCCCTTCCTCCTTATTAAGTGGTCCCACTACCTTTCTCCCTTTCCTCTTGCTATGTTTACATGTTGATAGAAGCCCTTTTTGTTGCTCCTGATATTCTTTGCAAGTCGCAGCTCATAATCAGCCTATTACAAACGAGTCTTGT